TTTCCTTCCTCTAGTTCTGCAGTTATTGTTTGTATTCTTTATAAACATAACTTCAAATAAAAATTAGTAGGTTCTATTAATAACCTGAACTCAACTTGATATACTTGCTATTTGTTTAATCTAGCTTCTATAGGGTAACTCATAAATTTGTGTATGTTCTGAGGATTTCACTACAAAAGAGGAAAGGAAACAATGCAGGCAGCCTGTTTCACTAATCGGAGGCAAAGACCTCCTCTTCCTCTCCAAGCAGAGTGCAATATTCTTATCGTAAAATCCCTTTCCTTAGGAGAGAAGCTGGCTTGTGATAGCTTTTGTTCACTTGATAGTAAGAGGTCTACTAATTCTGTGTTTCAAGAATAATGGCCAGAGTAACTCTTCACCAATCCCCTGACTTCATCAGTGAAAAATTCACTTATTTCATGAGAAGTCCATTTATAGTAGGAACTTTCCTGTGTTATCACAACTCATTTCCCTTCAGACTTCAAACACTTCAGAACACTACTTCACTACAAAGTTTTCCCCGTGGCATTTTAACTACATCCAATAAAGTTGATTTTATTACAACAAACTTCATTAGATGGCAAGTCATACGAAATAAAATAATAAAGGAATAGGGAGAACATCATTTTTTTCAGCTGTATGTTGTCTCAAATACTTAATCTGAAATTGTAGAATGATTTTGTGTGTACGATACTGGATTTATGACTGGGCTTCTCACCTCTAGATCCTTGCGTTAAGAGTCAGTTTTCATCTAATGTTGTTTTATGGCCTGCGGTAGTCTGTAGTTGACATAATCTCACCGAACAAATTGTTCCCTGGAGTAAGAGTAGTGTGGAAAAGAAAGCTCAAGTTAAATGAGTCTTTCATTTGCCAGGATAAGTTCCACTATTAAATGCAGGCGACACCTGGCTAGGACAGTTTTCTGGTGCTTTTGATATTTTCTCAGCTGCCTGGTTGATTTTTAAAAACTTTTATTCAGTGATATCTACATTTCAGAGCCTTTTTTTTTTTTGTCAGTGACTATCATCAGTTTATAATTTAATCTTGCACAAGTCATTCAACCTCGATGGACCTCAGTATCCTCATATATAAAATGAGGAGGTTGTACGAGATGTACCATTGCACTATTGTCTTCCCAGATTCCAGAAGTATGCAGTTAAAATGTTTGATGACAGCATGTACGATGCAGGAATGTTTAACAAACCCTGAGCCCCTTTTAAATTTGCTTTCAGACTTGGTCTTGAGCTATTATGAGATCATTACTTTAATATCTGCTGCATGACCACATCTATTCTCTTTTTCCTCTACTAGGCAAAGAAAACATAACAATCTACATGTAGCCTCTGCCATATAAATTCTCCAAAAAGTATTGGCAAGAAAAAAAGGAATTGCATTGAATTTTCTTTAGTGAGCTGTTTTTGGTGTTTTTTTCTTAATGTTTTTATTGATTTTTTAGAGAGAGAGGAAGGAAGAGAGAGAGAGAAACATCAATGTGAGAGAGAAACATCAGTTGGCTGCCTCCTGTACTGGGGATTGAGCCCGCAACCTGGGCATGTGCCCTGACTGGGAATTGAACCAGCGACTTCTTGGTACATGGGTCGATGCTCAATTCACTGAGCCACACTGGCCGGGCTAGTGAGCTGTTTTGTAGCCCTTCACTCCTGACCTTTAAACTTGCCAGCAGTAGAGATGTGTAATGTTCTTTTGGTAGTGTGGTGGAGTTCACATTTTCACTAAACTTATCACACACTTGCCTTTGAGCTTCCTGCAATATTATTCTGTGCTTGATGAAATTACTCCTGCCCCCAAATTGCATCCCCTGAATTCTTATTGTCTAATATATTTTAAAAGTTTTTTTTTTTTTTTTTTTTTTGCCCTCCGAAGTTGTTTTGCTTTCATGGTGCAAGTTTATATAAACACATTTTGACAATTTAGAGAACTCGATGAGATGATTACACCCATGGAATCTGAGTGCCAAGTTGAGCTTAGTTTTCAAGTTTCCTTCCTAGTGTGCTATTATTGTCATGCAGTGGTTTAAATATTTACTACAGATAAATTAGTGACACCGTGACCTTTGTGCAGTTAAAATAACATGTTGCATGTTAACCAGATGTGAACTGAGGGACTGACAACATAGTATATATATTGTGAGTCACATATCCACTTTGAATGTAGATTATTTATAAACTAAAAAAAAGAGTTTATAACATTTTTATCTCAGTAACTTTTAGACACAAACCAAGCTTCATGGAAAGACCTTAAAAATGAGTGTGTATGCCTGTATGAGTAATATATCAACTAATGTATTGCTGCAAAACTACAAGTATTTTGTTTCAACACATAATACTTGAGTTATTTTTTAATTCCTTCAGTAGTGAATAGATTTGGTCTGAATTCATTAATTTCTTTAGAAATTATGATTATAAAATATCTGAGAAACTTGAAATGTCTGCCAATAACTTGAAATCAAAACCACATTTCGTTGGGCCAATTAGAAGGTAAAGAAGTTTAAGATGATGAATGTTTCAAATTGTTTTTCCTGCTCTTAAGCTTTGAGAATACACTGTGCTGACATAATATCCTTGTTGCTATAGTTTTGCTTTTAATCACATGGTTGGTTTTAATGATTTCTATGAATCATTCCCAGAATAAAATTCATTCCGTAAAATAGAAATATATTCCATTTGATTATAAGACTTCATTTATCATCACTTACACAAAAACCAAGAAATGGATGGAATTAAATACTAATACAGAGATCTAATTTATCATATACTTATTTTCCCAACTCTATTTGATGTTTTGATTGGAAAACAAAATATCCTGGTTCTTTTGCTTATGTAGGTAGGGCTGTGAGCCATAGATTATTTATAAAGTATATATTTTTAAAAATCTATACATACTACATTTATAGTTCTGACAAAGTCTCCAAAAGTAAAGGGGCAGGTGTTTTATTTTTTAAAGTAGATTGGAGAATAATTTATACAACAAGAACCGATTTCTGCAGAGATGTGAATTTATTCTTGTCTTCAAGCATCTCATAAGGTGGAAATGCCTATTCTAGACCATCTGATTTTTATGATTTCTGATCTTTCTTTTTTTTTTATCCTCACCCGAGGACATTTTTTGTTCAGATAGAGTAGGAGGGAGAGAGAGAGAGAGAAACATCGATGTGAAAGGGACACATCGAGTGGCTGCCACCCACACGACCAACCAGGGCCGGGAACAAACTGCAACCAAGGTACATGCCCTTAGTGGGAACCGAACCCAGGTCTCTCGGGACCGCAGGCTGATGCTCTAACCACTGAGCCAAACCGGCCAGGGCAGATTTCTGATCTTTCTTAAATGTCCTCAAGATTATTCAGAGGACTGGTTTGTGATCTTTGAGTCACTCTGAGCCTGATGAGAGCTGTGGTTCCACTCTTTGCACTTAAAAAGGTTTATAAACAATTTTAACGGACTCACAGAAGCTTAGTTTAAGAACCCCAATCTCCAAGTATGTTTGATTACATCTCTCGTCAATAAAATTAGGTGAGCATGCATGCCTGTATGTATTATGTAGATCACATGCATACTTATGCGTGGTCAAAAATACATAGTTACAGTGGGACCTCAGTTCTCGAACTTAGTTCGTCTGGAAGACTGTTCGAAAAGTCATTTGTTCGAAAACCGAATCATTTTTCCCATTAAAAATAATGTAAATTGAATTAATTTATTCCAGACTCCCAAATGATTCCCTGTTTTAACCTTTCTTATATACAGTACATGTCTAATGTTCTGTTTGATCTGTAATCAAACACTTCTTTTCTTAAATTTATCGAACCACCCCCTACTAGCCTTCAACTGTCAGCACTCGCTCCAGGGGTATCTGGCAGGAGGTCAGTAGGTAGCATCTTCGCTTTTTCACACATCACTGCCTCTGAAATGCTGTCACTGGCTAACTGCTTTTTGTTTATCCAAATCAACAACCGTTGTTCTGCCTCTTCAATTGCCTGTGATCATGGTTTATTTTGCCCCCTTAACGACATTAGCACTATTGATGGCCTCTTTGTGTTTAAAATCGTGCTAATCATCCATTTCACCAGCAACAAAAGTGGAAAACAAAAATATTCACAGCACAATGTCCTAAAATGTTAACAACGGAGGTTTAGCAGTAAACACTCATACTGTGCATTCTGTCCTTTGTTTGTGGCCTGAGACACTCTTGTTATGTTGATGTATGAGCATGAAAGGGTAGGTGGAGAACCGAAGTTTTTCTTAACAACCTAGACATTTTTTCTGTGAACAATTTGGTCAAGAACAGAATTGTTCAAAGGGGAGACACTCAAGAACCAGGTTTGACTGTATTTTAAATAATGTACATATACTATTCTCTATGTACAGTAAGGAACATTTATGGAGAAATTATTTTTAAAAAGGGGGAAAATTTAAATTAAATATAAAGAAGCTCTTAATACTTTCTCTTCACATTTTAGTGGATTGCATCGTGGGCCATTTGGGGTACATATTCCCACTTAGAGACCTCTAGTCTGTTATGCATGCCAACTTTTTTTTCAGAGTCAACAACTTTGAAATCTTGAATTTAATCTCTATACTAAAGTCTCATTTTGTTTGAAAATGTGTGGAAAATAGAGACTCTGTCACACCTTTGGTCTGCAGATAATGTTTGGGTTATGTACTGAATTCTTTGTGTATTTTGTGATCCATTTTAAAGTCACCTAGTAGATTTAAAGAAGTAATTTATACATCCACAAAGAGGTCTAAAATCAATGGTGAAATAAATGTGTCCCCCACCCCCATCCCTCAGTCCCTTTCAATTCCAGTAAGTCTCTGTGCTGGGGGGTTAAGTTTGAATGAGAAGGTTACCATATTCTGACCCTGTTTGGTGTTGTAATTGGAAAGATATTTTTGGACTGTTTGCTTTTAATATTTTTTTCTTCACATTGAAAAGGCTGCAGCCATTCTAGTGTGTCTTGTTTTTCATTTGCTTTTCTCCAAAGGATGCTGACCTGTTGGACGTTGAGAGCAAACACTTTGAAGACCTGGAATTCCAGCAGCTTGAGAATGAGAGCCGTCTGGATGAGGAGAAGGAGAACTTGACCCAACAGCTCTTGCGTGAAGTGGCTGAATATCAACGGAACATAGTCACTAGAAAGGTACTTTTGCCAGGTGTCATTCAATGCAAAAATCATAATATACCCCTCACTGTGTGACAGTAATAATCATGAATATAGATATAGCGTGTGTCTACCTGTCTTTACATCTGATTATCTTTGCGTGTTTAATCACATATCACATTTGGCAGATAATGGAGCCTGCCATCTATATGCCAAATGGTGCTTTCAACTAGATAAACATACATGTTACAGTCATTGTTACTAAATGCTATGGATGCATTTATAAATAATATCTATTTTTTTTCCCTTATGGGAAAACCACAGCAGAGAAAATCAGAAATTTAGATACTTGTTTTAAAGTACTTCCTTCTGCAATCATAGTAACTAGATTCAGAGTAATTATACAAAGTCTGTTTAGAAATTTTCTCTATTACTCAATGGTTTTCAAAGCTGGTTGATAGCTTGTCACCATTAGAAATAGCCCCGTGGAATGCCACGCACATGACTGACTCCACCCACCCTCTAGCACCCAGTTGCCAGCCCGAAATTTAGCTCTTGTTCCAGAATTTAGAACCACACCCCAGCGCCCTGGACTAAACCCAAAAAAGTGAGGGAAGGGATCATGGAGAAGGTGACTTCTTAAGCCCTCAGTTTAAATAAGAAATGTCATTGTTTTTTCATGAGGCGTCTCCCAAGATGATGTCAAAAATTCATTTATAATCTAAAACAAAATTTCCTGTTGACTTCTGGGTTCTTCAAATAGATTTTAAATCACTTGAACTGTGTTGGCCTTAGGTAAGGAAAAGCCCTGAGCTTGGCAGGTCAAAGAAACTGCCTCTGGGTGATAATCACTGCCAACCATCAATGAAAATGTTATTGCAGCTGTAAACACCTTTTCTCTCGTTTCCAGGACAGGCTGGCAAACCTTTGCCTGTCTAACATGTATCTTTCTATGATCATCCATTTTTCCTCCAGGAAAAAATTTCTGCGTTGAAAAAACAAGCCAATCATATTGTCCAGCAGGCCCAGAGAGAACAAGACCACTTTGTGAAAGAAAAGAATAATTTAATAATGCTGCTGCAAAGAGTAAGTATTTCCTTGTCAGCCCTGACTGCAATAAAACCCAGATTCAATTTGGGGAAGGCATTTCCTTCAAAGCAAATGCCTTTTATTAGTGAGCAGTGGATTGTAATTTTAAGAAAGACTTTTTAACGTATATTTTTATTTAATCCTCTACATTAATAAGCTGATGTTCTGCGAATGACTAACTGTAATCCAGAAACTAAGCAGGGATGTTTTCTTCATATTTCTTCCACAGTGTGAAAATGCGAGCTATGGAAAATCTGTTTTCTGATTTTCTGTTGTTGTTTTTTTAATCATATTTTTCTTCAAATAGGTAAAACATGTTCTGCTTTTTTTGTGGCTGTCAAATATTTTGGCTCAGTTCCTGTGGTGTTTTGAACTCTACTTCTGTGAGGGTCTTTATGGCAAATGTCACATTGGATATAGTTTAGCTTAATTGGCTAGGTACCCACCTATGTGGGTGGCAAGATCATTTTCACCAAAGAGACCGTGTCCACATCCCAGCCCCTAAGGTGACTACATGAAAAGGGATTCCTCTGCCCAAACTGCAGCCAGATTTCCTGATATGGCCATAGTCTAATGGCAGGAATAAGGCACCAGAAGTTAAAGCTGATGGGGCATCTCCTGACTGCGCCTTGCGTGCAGGCTAGTACCTAGGAATGTGACACCTGGGATCCTAAAACACGAGATGGACCCAGAGTGGTGCGCAGGAGAAACCAAATCCAGCATGATGCATTCAAGTATGAGGCTGTACCACGACCCCACCTAGAAGAAATGTGGTGGCGTATTCCCATTTTTGCTATTTGTGGTTTGAGAAGAGAGAAAAGTTGGGCTTTTACATAGAATCACGAGTTCACTCAAGGTGCCTCTGTAGCCCACCCCGAGCCCCAGCAGCTCCTCTCTCTTGCTTCTTCTGTACCCACAGGCCTCTGAATGGAGTGCGGTTTCCATTCCTGCACTCCGCTCCGGGGATGAACTCGCTTCAGCACTGTTAGCCTCCACCCCCAGTCTACCTTTTCACACCGTAGTCAAAGGCACAGATTAAATTACATAGTGTAATATGTACTGTTTAAGTGGTTTCTGAAATTTTAGCAAAAAGAAAGGAAAAGGTTTCTTAGAGAGAAATTTTCAAAAATGGGTAAGCACCCTTACAGAAATACCATTTTGTTATTAAAAATGTATGAAATATAATTCTACTGTAAAAATGGTGGTTCATAAATATTAAGATTTTAATTTTTCCAAGTTGATCTGTAGGTACATCTCAATCCCAATAAAAATCCCAACATTTTGTAGAGACTGACAGATTGATGCTAAAATTTAGTCGGTTCGGATCCTCGTTACTTGCGGATTCTATATTTGTGAATTTGCCTCCTCACTAGACTTTATTTGTAACCCCCAAACTAGCCATTGTTGTGCAGTCCTTCCTGTTGTGCTCAGAGCAGTGACTGTTCTGGGCCACTGGACGTGCAGATGCCCTGCGGAGGTTGAACAAGACAACCCTCCTGTTCAGCTCTCATACTGTAAATGAGTGTCCTTTCTGTGCACTATTTAGTGCCCTGTTTCCATATTTCTGTGATTTTCTTGGTGATTTTGCTGTGCAAAGTGGCTCACAAGCACGGTGACTAATGTCCCTAAGTGCTGAAGGTGGTGACATGCCTCATGGAGAAAATATGTGTTAGATAAGCTTCAACCAGGCATCCGTTCTAGTGCTGCTGGCTGTGAGTTCAGTGCTAGTAAATCAACAATATGTATATTAAATAAGATGTCTTTATACAGAAACGCACATAAAAAAACGTTGTGTGTCGATCAATCAGTTGCTGAAAATAGTGTGACCAGAGGCTCACAGGAAGGAGCCCAACCCTATCATTCCCTTAGACACATTGGTTCAGTGTTCACCACTTCAGTGTTCATGGCACACAAGAGAACATGATGCAGAAAAATGAGAATCATCTGTGTGTGACCATGCAAAAGGTGTAGTATAGCCAAAACGGTTCTGAAAAAGAACAAAGTTAGAGAATTTATACTATTTGACTTCAAGGTTTACTATGAAGCTGTAGCATTTGTGTGTGGTGCTGGACTACACACAGATGTGGAAACAACCAGAACCCAGAAGTAGGCCCAAACCTATACTGTTTATTCATTTTTGACAAAGCTCCAAGAAATCTAGTAGGAAAAGGAAGTCTTTCCAAAAATGGTGCTGGATCAACTGGATAAACAAGGAAGAAAAGGAACCATACCACCATCCATCCTCACAGTATCCATATAAATTACTTTGAGAGCAATCATAGACCTAAACTTAAAAATTGAAGCAATTAAGAAGGCATTATAGAAGTACAAGTACCTTTCATCACCTTGGGGTAAGGAAAGGTTTTTTAAAAAGAAGAAATGACACAGGACTTATATCCCAAATATATTAAAAACTTTTATCTATGACTCAATAATAATATATAAACACCCAATAAATAATTTTTTAAAAAGACTTGAATATAAACATTTTACCAAAGATATATGAAGAGTCATTAAGTCACATGAAAAAATATTCAACATCAATAGTCATCAGGCAAAATCCAACGTTGACTCAACTTAATAGATTTTATGTTCCTTCAGGAAAAGGAAAATCTTTGTAATTTGGAAAAGAAATACTCCGGCCTCTCTGGGGGGAAAGGGTTTCCTGTCAATCCAAATACTCTAAAAGAGGTAAGCTGTGATTTTACATGTCCACTTGTATCACCTTAGACATCAAGAGGTTACCTCAGTAAATGACTTAGGGAAGCACTCTGTGCTGATGGCTTTTCTGCCTTTCATTATTTATGCTTTGAGAATTTAAGGGATTATTTTTGTATTTTATGCAAATGCCCTGTGCTTTTGTGTGTGTGTGTGTGTGTGTGTGTGTGTGTGTGTGTGTGTGTACTTTGTTTGACATTGACATTGTGGGTTGACTTGGAGTTTCAAAAAATTTAAGATCCAGACTAAGATTAGTTTTAATTTCTCTTCTTTTCTTGTTTCGATTTCCTTTCTCAGTTTCTCCTGTTTTACTTTACTTCTCTTTCTTCTAACTCTTCTAAAACATGAAAATGACCCTTTACATTTGAGAAGGTAGTCTGGTTTCTTTCTTTTCTCTATCTCTTTTATTCTCCCAAAGTCATTTCTGCTATTTTCTATCTAAATTGGAAAAATCTATTTATATTAAGCTATACACATTCTTTATCCCAAACATCTCTTAGTAGAAGAATACAATTTTTCCTTTTCTATTAATGAGTTGTTCTTTTTCTCTGCAGACTTCCTGGTGTCAGAGGTCATTTGGCTTTTTTATTATTTGTGTGTGTCTGCAACTCTCATGTTTATTAAGTAGCTATGTGTTCTCTTTCTTGGACCAAACCAACTTCACTCAAGATGTTTTGGTTTTCTTTCTAACTTTCTATATTTCTTTCTGTCCGACTTTCTCTCTCTCACCCACTCCCATTCTCTCTCTTTTTATAGGGAATGATGAATTTATATCTAACTCTTAAACAAGTCCCACTTTTGACAAGCATCACACATTTTTTAATCAATTAATTAGGTTTTATAGTCTATGACTCATATAAGGAATCAAACTTTGGTTTTGAAACAATCTATTATCAACTGAGCAAAAGAATAACTCAGAGTTGTTACTCTTTATTCTGATTCATTATCAAGGATAAAATGAAATTTGACAACCTGGGGTTTACTTCCTTTCTTCAATTTAATCTCATAAAGACTTTGCAGAGTATCTGTTGCCTCTCTCTGAAGGGCAAGAACTAATTCAGCAGTATTTTGATGCCTCCAGTTTATAAACAGTCCATTCCAGCTTTCTCCACTTTGTCATAATTATACATTCTCAGTAAAAACATCGCTTGCTTCTAGCCTGAATTTTTGCTTCATCAGCATAAGGATATTTTGCCTTTCTTGGAGCTATTTTTTTTTTAAAGATCGATGTGCTAATAGAGGAACCTAAATGTTAAATTTTACTATTTTACTTTTGAAAGAGATACTATTTGATACTCTTTACTTTTTTTCATGTTGCTTTATTAGTGTGCTGAAAAATCATGATTGGTCTGTACAATGACTTTCCATGGAAATTTACAAGTGCCTTTTCCTCAAATTTAAATTCAAGAATTTGCAGATGATAGATTTTGATTTATGGGTATTTATGCTGAAGCCAAAACTGAATCATTGCATTTAAAGTAACTGGAAATTCTCTGTCCTGGGATAGAGTTGGGAGCTGGGGAAGCTGCCTTGAATCGAAACTTCCTCAAGTTGGAACTCTACTTTAGGGTGTGTGTGTGTGTGTGTGTGTGTGTGTGTGTGTGTGTGTGTAGATGTACACATTTGTCTTGCTAGGAAAAGCTCATTGGTGGATAGTGTACTTTTTATTCTCATTTGGTTGAGATGCCTAAAAGCTGGATTCCATTACAAGTAAATCACTGTTTTATGAATGTCTTAGAGCAAAAACAAGCAGTCCTCAGCCCACTTTCACTCACACTTCAATTTGCCGGAAAAGAGAAGAGCAAAAAATCAAAAAATAAAGATTTGTGGAAAAGGTTCTTGAAATAGAGCATGTGATTACATTGTCAATTTTATCTCTCAGATTTTTGTGTGTGTGATTATTTTAAATGTTGCATTGGGACAACTTCATTCAGTAAATAGAATGAATGCTGATACATCTGGGTATTTTGAAATCAAAGCTGTTGGGTTATTGATAATACAGTCATCTTGATTTCACCAGAAAAAAAAAATGATTTGTCCTATTTAGAATATCATTTTCCATGTGTAAGCGCTGTAAATTCATTGTAATTGCTGATGAAACATTCAATGATACCTCAGATATCTGGCTGTGCTGCTCTAAGCTAACTCCATTGTGTTAGAGCATTAATTCTCTCGCATGCCTTGGCTTTTGCTTTCTTTGTGTTTAACTTCTAAATTCCTCCTTTTAGGGCTATCTCAGTGTAAATGAAATTAATGAGCCATGTGGCAAGTCCACGAATCTATCCCCTTCCACTCAGCTCCCTGCTGATGCTGATGCTGTTGCCACTGGGCCTACCACAGCCGTACTGGTAAGCCAGCCACAACGTAAAGAGGTGTGTTGGCATGACGTTTCATTCATTCACTGCTTTCCTCGTGTCCAGAATTAACCCTGGTTAGCTGCAAAGGAGGGAATTGGTGACAATTATGTGTCTGGTCGACCAGAGGGGCAAAGTGATACTGAGTTTGAAAAACATACCAGTTTGGGGGTACTGCTCTACCAATTATAATACTGAAAACCATGAAACATATGGGGCAGAGTGGACCACCAGAAGTAAGTTCAAAAAAATAAACTCTATATTCTGAATACTTTAACCTGATCGAGTTTTCTTAAAAATCAAAAGACTTTCTAAATTTGTTGGTTTGAGTCATCTTTCCAGTTTGATTTTGTTTTCTGTTACATTTTGCAGTATGGACTTTCTTTAATGTTATGCCTTTTTAAAACATCTGGAAAGGGGCAAATAATAGGAAATAAAAATACCTTCTACTGATCTAAGTTGCTTGCAGATTGGGGTTTTAACAAGAGGCTAAATGGAAAGATACATCATTTGTGACTTCTTGATTAAAATATAAGAACAGAGAACAATCAGATTATTGATTTCATCTCTTTGTCATTATTCTTTCATTTTATATGGACACGTATATACTTTTTTTTTTTTCTCCAATAAAGCAAAGATCACCTGTCTGTCCTGGATTTATGTTTCCTTCTACCCTTTCTCCTCATCCTATCACTCAACCTCCATCAGCCCCTTGGCCTGAAGTCATGGCTCCATCTGTCGATCCTTTCCCTTTAAATGACACACCTCCTCCTCTACCAGCTAAGAAACACAGAAGGCAGCAGCAGCAGGAGCAACAGGTAATTAGGGACTGGTGTTCAGAATTTGGGGATCTTTCCTTCACCTTTTTCAAAGAAATTTATTAAAAAGATAAGGTGCATGCTCCTTTGCTGATTTTCTTTTTAAAGAACATTTATGATGTTCTAAGGAGGTTGGGAGTGTTATAAAGTTTGAGACCTTGACTAGCCTGTTCTAACTTTTAATATGTTTGAGCTAGTTTTATAGCCTCATCCTTCAATTTCCACTCAGCCAGAATACTGCAACTTATCTTGGGCAACTTATTTTTCAAGATAATAATAATAATTTCCATAAAATCCATGCTATAAAAAGTTGCTGTGTCAGCACACATTTTTTTCACACATTATTTAAATCATAATAATAGACATCATTCTCTTACTATGTGTCAAAATTTGCTAAACATTTTACAAATAAATATCTCATTTCCTCCTCATAATCCCATGAAAAAAGAATTGACTCCATGTTGACATTTAGGGAACTGAGGCTCAGTGTAGTAAATAGCTTGTCCAAGGTCACCCCACAAGTAGTGCTTTGGTCCATAGAACAACAGTTTATAGTGACCAGATTTTTTTTAAATTATTTATTATTCTTAATGTTGCTCTCCTTCTACTACATTCAGTGCATATTCATGCTTGTAAGCAAAAACTCTGTTTTGAGCCTTCTCAACTATAATCATATTCATATTCCTGTGTGAATTTGGCCCCAGAACATGCTAACGAGTCCTAGACACTGGATTCCCCAAAGCGGGCAAGCCCTGCTGGGCTATGCCCTGCCCTTATATTACAATCGATTAGTTTTTAGCAAAAGACTATATCTCCCCACTATTTTTAGGTTAATAAATATTAGCTAATATAAGTAGATACTGGTAAAATTAAAATTAAGATTTTTTTTTTTATGATTGGCATGTGTGAAGAATAGTAATACATTTGGAAACTCAAATTTGCATTAGTTTTTTGCATATTTCAAAAGCCCACGCTTAGTATAAAAATGATCAAATCTAAAGAAACTTTAATTAGGAAATTACTTGACCATTGAAGACATTTATTTTTTGAGAGGCCAAGAAAAATTTGGATACATTTCAAGTTGGCAAAATTTTGCCTTAGGAATCTGAAAAAAAGAAATAGTCAGCAGGAGGATTATTTTTTTTTTTCATGTGAGGGATTATGATAGGGGCTTTTTGGCCGAGATCTTGTTTAAATAAAAGAGTAACCTAAAGGATGCCTTATATGGAAACATTGTGTCGATTTGGAGTGTGTTTATGTGACTGAAATATTATTCCAACTGTAAAACAGCTCCCCTGTTTACTCGCTCTTTCTCTTCGTCTTCTTCCTTCTCCCTTTTCTTGTTCTCCTCACACTGGGATCTGTGCCACCACACAGAACTGTCCAGACAGACAAGGGGAGAAACTGCTTACTTGCTTTGTCCACTGGCTGTTCCGCCATCCACATGGCGACCATCATAATAATTTGTAAGTTGTCCTGAGGCCTCAAGGCAGCAGGCACTAACAATGAGAGTGAAAGGTGGAATTTTTCTTTTGTTTCTAGGTTCAGTAAAAAAAAAATTCTTCTACTGCCTGTGTATCTTACCAAATGCTAGCCAGCCCAAGTCTGTTAGTGAACACAGTATAAGTTGAAATTTTTTTAATGCTGTTTAAATTCCCAAACTTCTTGGTAAATGCATATTTCTTAATTTCTTCAGTGACCTGTTTCAATTAGTCAAGTTTTGCTATTCTGCTTTACATTTGCATTTAAAGCACTTTAGAAGTCTGGAAGAAAGGAAAAAACAGCATAAAGAAGGCCTCTATCTGAGTGACACTTTGCCTCGAAAGAAAAGCACACCTTCCATATCCCCACATTTCAGCAGTGCTACTATGGGGAGAAGCACCACCCCGAAGGTAGGACGTGGGGAGAACCACTTGTCCTTCTTGTCCTTATGTTGACTGATGCACAAAGGTCCTTAAAGAAAATGCTAAATCATAAACTATTAAGTTTGCTTGTTGGACAGACATTATGCTAAATTGCATTTTCTGTCTTATTCAGAGGACATTTGGAATTGTACGCTCTGGGACCAAAGAACCTGGTCCAGGGTATTTTCTACCAACATCACACACGTTGTAGGTGGCATTCATTGGCAGACTCCGTGGCTGCATCCCAGACCTGGAAACTGGAGAACATAAACTCTGGATTACAGGAGTAGTGGCACCAGATATTCATTGAGCCATTTCTGAAGCTGACACTGGGCTAAGCGCTTTATATAGATTTTCTTGTTTTAAAATCCAGCAGCAATATTAAGTAGAGGTACTAGTTGTTATCCCACTGTACATGTGGATAAACTGAGGTATAAAGAAGCTCAGCGACCAGGCCAAGTGCCTTCAGCTAGTCAGCCATGAAGCTGGGATATGAACCCATGTGGTCCGACACCTAAACCCTCACTCGTGTTCTGCTGACACGCCTGAGGGGTCATTGCAGGGGGAGGAGGAAAGGCTAGTGAGAAGGAGGTTCTGAGCAGGGCAGGCTTTGGGGCTCTTCCTTTGACCTTGGTGAGAGTAACCTAGTTTTAATCTATTTTACAAACTGGTGTTCTGAGTATATTTCATGTAAAGGTGTTTTCTATTAAAGAGAGTGCTAGAACCTCGGGGGGAGTTCATAGGTTTCTCCAGCTTTCAGCGTACTCGATCATGGGGTAGGTGGGAATGGGGCAGTTGTTACAGGGTAGGTGTCTGCTCCGGTGCATGCCGTGCACGCGTTCCTGCTCCCGCGCCTGCCCTCCGCTCCCTATGCATGCGGAACTTCGAGTTGCTCTCGAAGGTGGTTTTGGAGAACAAGTGTTTCCCTGTCTTATGGAATTGCTGCCACTGGAGGATATGCCGTGACGTGGGGATTTCCATGGAGCTCCGTGGGAGGGACAGTGACTGGTCTTTGCCATTGAGCATCCCCAACTAGGATGGAAGACCTTCCTGTCCTGCCCTCTGTGCTTAGATAGGAGCCATGGAAACAGGGATGTGGCCATGTCCTAAAGGACCACAGGCAGCACTTTGCCTGAAGTGTTTCCCCTGGTTCTCACAGGCTCACTTGCCCCTGGGACAGAGCAACAGCTGTGGCAGTGTGCTACCTCACTCGCTGGCGACCATGACCAAAGACTCGGAATCGCGGAGGATGCTCAGAGGTAGGTCACTTTAAAGTCAATTGGGATGTCTTTGTTAAGCATTAGAATTCTTCAGAGAAAGGGAGGGAGGGAGAGCAAGGTTGAGGATCATTAGAAAAGGCATCAAGCAAAGTCTTGAATTTACTCTTAATGTGTCCCCTCTGGGGAAAGGATATATATATATATATATATATATATATATATATATATATATAGTTATTGTTGTACAAAGGTAACTTCTCCTGTATACACATATGACTGGTATGTCTTAGATATTGCACTTCATAGATTTAATAGTATTCTTAAACCAGGAAGGCCCCTGAGAATTACTAACCTTTGCATTTGATAGGTAGAAAGAAAAGAGAGGCTACTGAGATCGTAAGTCATTGACCTGGTTTGTGGCTGAGCCACTGTGTTGAACCATGTGCTAAAGATTCATTGAGCTGACACAGTAAATGGAGAACTAGTGGCCCAGGACAGAATTCCCTTAGGCCTTTTAATGTGGTCTGAGCCTTTATTCTATGTGGTGGTGAGGTTTCCAATAGACTTTGATTCTCAGCATATTTTATTTCTTTGTAAAAATGAGTTTATAATGGAGTTCCCAAATAGTCTTTGTGGGGCTAGAAGAAATTACTACAATGCAGTTCCAGCTTGTTAAGAAGATTAGATTTATTGTGTTAACACAGTCGTTTAGGTCAACAACTTATATTGGCCCTCACTTTTGAATAGGCGTGGTGCTAGAAACCAAAAAGGCCAATGAATGACATGATCCTTGTCCCTGAAAGACACATAATGGATCACTTCAGTAGAATGTGGTAGATGCAGTGAGGAGGTATGCCGGGATGTAAAGGCCCAGGCCGATAGAGTGGTGGGCATGTGGCCCCTGATGTGTTCATGCACTAGTGGGATTGAAACTCTTCCCTCCAAGCAGGCTGGGATTCCATTCTGACCGCTCAGCCTCTCTGCCAGTGGTATCAGGGGATAATCACCGGTTTTCTATCAGAAAAAAAAGGAAAAAAATATATAAATTTTGGTATGTATATATATATGTATGTATATGTGATGTGTATATGTATGTGTATAACTTTTGTATATATACATATATATCACGTGAATGAGGTTTTTGAATCATCACTAATGATTTGAGTTAATAGAGGCTGTGGTAATAGTCATGAGAGGTTTATAATGTATAATAGGTTTATGTTACATTTAAATCAAATACATTTGGTTGAACTTCTCTTTTCTGCTTTTAATTTTATTTATTGATTTAGAGGGAGAAAGAAAGAGAGAAAGAGAGAGAGACACATTGATTTGTTGTTCCACTTATTTATACATTCATTGATTGATTCTTGTATGTGCCCTGATTGGGGATCGAACCTACAACCTTGACATATGGGGATGATGCTCTAACCAACTAAGCTATCCATCCAGGAACTTTTTTTTTTTTTAAACATAATTTCTTTTTTTTTTTTTCCTCACCCTAGGATATTTTTCCATTTTTTGTACAGATAGAGTGGGAAGGAGAGAGAGGAAGGGAGAGAGAGAGAGAAACATCGACGTGAAGGGACACATCGAGTGGCTGCCACCCGCACGACCAACCAGGGCCGGGGACAAACTGCAACCGAAGTACGTGCCCTTAGAGGGAACCGAACCCGGGTCTCTCCGGACCACAGGCCGACGCTCTAACCGCTGAGCCAAACTGGCCAAGGCAAACATAATTTCTTAATAAGCTAAAAATAGCTCTTATGCTTTATAAGTAATAAACATAAATGAGTATATTTTGGCTCTCGTTTATCACTGTTCATTTGTGGGTCAAGTCTATTTTTTATTGAAGCATTTTTCTACTATATTTATAGAATTATTTTTAAATGCATTTTCCCCCACTGGCTGAAGATATCAAAGCTTGGATTGGCCCCAATACCATACTTTACATTAAAAATATTTTCTTAAAATAGAAAGTAAGAAAAACTAGACCTTTATACTAAATTGATTTGTAAAAATCAGAAGCTGTTAACATTATCATGTAAGACGGCCCTTGTGAGAATAGGGTGAACCTAAAGGGATGTTTCATCTCCGATTTTCTAAGCTCTGTTTTCCCCTCAGCTAATCGGAATCCCCGTACTAGATTTGTATAGGAAAACTGAACTGATTCTCTTCGGTCACATAGGGATGTGCCCTCTGTAAGATCTGTGTCTTTGATCTTTTTGCTCTGGTTCTTCACTGGTAGGTGTTTGCACAGCCCAGAAGACTGCAGCTCTAATATGTTGTTCTTTAAACAGTTCTGGTGCTGATGAGACAGCTTCTGAAGAAATAGAGAACCAGCCAGTGTGTTGATCCATTTGGATGCTATGTGTCTTGTGAGGCCAGCCTGCCCCCCTTGGCTCCCCACCCAGAGGAGGAGGGGTTGGGGGCAGCAGTTCTTAGAGCCACAGCAGACCGTAAAATAGGCAGGATTTTCTACTGAGCCCATACTGGTGGCCCACAAGGACCAGGAAGTTTGAATCACAATTTTGTCTAGAATTGTTTCACTAGCATTTGTTGGCTTCATTAAAATAATGAACACAAGTAAAATTACATGGTTTTGAAAAAATTGGATCTAGCACATTTTCATTAACTCAAATTTAATAGATCTTACCATTTTTCTTGGCTTACACAATTAACTTAAATGAACTATTATTTTTGCTGCTTATTCGTAATGGATACGTCAAGGACCCTGGTGTAAGTATAAGCCTTCCTTCAATCAGCATTGTTTTAATAGAACTGGCAATGTGAATCATGCAGACAAAGGTCCCTGCGAGCAGAGTTTAAAGCAGACAGCCCAGGAACTCAGCTCTTAACATTGTAATGGTTATTGGCTTTTGTACAAATTGTGAACTATTGCTTTGTAATGTAAGCTTTAGAATGAATGAAATCTTTGTCCTTTTGTCTTCTGTTTAACGCAGGAAAGTCCAAGAAAGGTATGACAACCTCCTTGTGTGGTGTTTTTGTTTCCAGCAAATAGTGAAAGGTCATTGTCAAGTCATCTTTAAGAAATGATCAGATTTACAGCTGTACAATGGCAGATTTTTAGTCTAATGATTATTCCTTTTACACAATGGAGAAAAATTGTTGCACATCTGCTGGGTGCAGCTGCTGTTCATTCACAGGCAGCTGCATGACCCCCTTTGTTTTGTTTTGTTTTGTTTTATGACAAGGTCAGACCGTGCAGGAAACACGAGTGCTTAGGAAGCATTGTTTTGTAAGAGTCGGGATCTAGATAAAGAAAAGAATGGGCCGTGTGGTATATATAGGCTAAGTGTAAAACAGGGGGTTACTCCCTTATAAAGGCAGGTATAATAAATAGAGCAGGCTTCATGGTGATTGAAAAGATTTAAAGGGCTCCTACTTAATCATTTCATTTAAGACTGTTTTATATGAAAGATTTAGTGGACAGTGAAGAATCGTTTAAATGGCCTGAATCAATAAGACGCAGTGACTGTGGCTAGCTGGTAGCAATGTAGGATGTTGGAGGACTGAGTTATACCAGTTGATGGACGCTGCTTCAAATAACTGAATGGCATTTTACAAACCTTAGCTCTTACAAATAATCTGTTACTGTCTGCATGGAAAAAATAGAACTGTTTTATAGATATAATCTAGTTTTTATTCTCCCTGTTCTCTGGTTGACCGATGTGTGTGAAAGATTTGTTTTTTCTTAAGAAATCTCTTTTGACTGTGTGCATGTAGCATAAGCCTATTGTTTGTTTGGGTTTTTTTACTCCTTGAACTCTTCTCTATAAACTCAGATTTAATCTAAAAATGTGAACATAATGCCTTGTCAATCTGTATTGTCACTAACACCGTCAATGACTGCATGTTGGAAATGTATGTTTTTCCTGTCCTCTGGTCATCCTTTTTGATCTTGTATCTCTTCCCCTTTCTCTGTCCTCTTCATTCCTGACTTGTCCTGTGCCTCCATCTTCCGGCTGTGGACTGTGGTTAGGAAGAATGAATTTCTCAGCAGGTGAGCTATGAAAGGCTGAATTAATTGCCAGAAATACTGACTGATTTTATCCTCTTAGACCCAAGTTATAATTTTAAGTCATTTCATTTTCTATATCAAGGCTTAGATAGTAGTTTAAAGTAAATACCACACATTTGGAAGATATTGGCAAGACTCTGTATCCCACAATGGACAAGTCACATGGGACTTCTCAGTTCTATTTAACCAGAATTCACTGGCATTAAAAAATAATAATAATAAATGGACCTGGCATATGAAAAACATTGACTCTTCTTGGGCAGTCAAGAGAAGTGAGTTTGTTTGAGGTCCTTGCATGTGGTATGCTTATCAACCTGCCTCAGATATCATCAGGTCTCACTTTATAAACCTTATCAAGTACCCTTTCAAGTAGCCATTTCTGTCTGGATAGGAAGAATTTGAAGCATTTACAAGGCCCTTTGTACTTTTTTAGTTGCTGTCCACTGCTGAATATTATTCTTGTTGCACAACATAAAAACTCAACAGGCAGTCTCAGGGGTTGGGAAAGTCTCATTTTCCCCAATCCACTTACTTTGTCCTACCCCAAACAGTAAATGCATTCCACTTTCTTATTTATCCACTAATTTGGTTGCTATTTATAGATGAGAAAATGAATTCATTGAGGGACTCTATTTCGGGACATCCGTATGCTAAAGAAGTGGGGATTCTGTGATGACCAGGACATAGGTGTGCCCTCCCTGGTAAAGCACACCTGTTCTGTGCTGCTTCCTGCGCTGGCATATCTCCTCTGGCCTCCTACCGGGGTCCCTCCTTCTCCTGCGCGCCTGTGGTGTTTCCTCTGCAAAAGCACCTATGCCTTTGGATGGCCAGCCTGAGCCTGAATCCCAAAGCCAGCTCTTTGGAATCACACTGGTCCAATTCCAGGATCACAGAAGAGAGTCCATGCCCTTATTTGTAAAAGTAGGGGCAAATTTGGGGGTAGGGGGATTGTTCAGGAGGGAGGAGGCTAAACCAGGTGGCAGTTGAGTTCACTGTGGTCAGGAAAGCGTTGCCAGTTGGTAGACATGAGAAGCTCGATAAGGTAGAATTTATATTCACATGGGACCTCGGGAAACAAAAATCCTGCCTTGTGAAGGATATGCTCACTAGCAGCCGGCTTTCTCACTGAAGTGCCATGAAAATATAAGGCTCATTTTACCATCGGAATGATGGAAGATTCTCTGAGACATAGAGCCGAACCTCAACAACGAGTGAGGTGACGGGGGAGTTCGTGTGCACCATCCTCAGCACAGTGCACCTATCACACAGCTTTCCCTCGTGCTCACATCTGAAAATTTTGAATCGTTTTAATTTATTGTCTGCCACACCTGAAGGTGGTGAGTTCATTTTCTTATTCTGTGATACTTTTGGGGTAGGGGGAGAAATCCTGGAAGATCTGAGGATTGGATCATGCTTTGTTTGAAGAAGAAACAGACTCACTTTCTGCCTTTCTCGGGAAGCGTTACTGCATTGTAGGGACTGACTTTTCCTCATTATGAAAAACTGGAAGTGGAGGGGCGGTTGTGGCACATGTCATTGCCAAGATCATTCTTGTACGTTTTCACCTACATAGTTGTTTTTTAAGAATGTGTTTTTCGTAGTAAAACAAGGAAATGTCATCCAGGTAGTTGGTGTCAATGAGGAAGTTTTCTTTGTCAACAAACCTCTTTTGAAAGTAAGATACATGTATGACCTTTTCAAATAATTTCTGGTGTTTCTTTCTTTTTTTTTTTTTGTTCCCCTCCTTTTCATAACGAATAATTGGAAACAATTTAAAAGGAGCAATTAGTACTTCCAAAAGTTCAAATACCAAAGGTAAATATTTGAGTAATGAATTATTTTGCCTTTCTTTTTTTTTTTTAAAAAAAAGCTCATGTCCCACGCTGATGAGTGAACTGGCTTCATTTAATGCTTTATGCATTAATCACTACAATTAATGACAGTCTGCCTAATGTCTCATGGTGTGCATTTGTATTTTGTATCTTCCCTTTACTAAGTGGTATGTCGCTTTTACATATATATATGTGAGCATGTATTGGTATTTATAATTACAGTTTATATTAAGGAAACTTATTTTCCCCAAAGATGCCTTAATCTGAACTAAAATTTTCACTTAGATAACTAAATACTTACTAATAATGAGTGAAAACTCCTCATAGAACTAAAATCACTCTAGAGTAGCTTTTGGTGTGTGGTGCTTTGCCTCGTGGGTGTGGCTTCTGGTTTTACATGGAAATGCTCCATCAACAGTGGAGAAAGCTGTTTGGAATCACTTGCCTTCTCTCATCCTCTTGCCTGCTTTTTGGACATTTTGTTACTAATTAAAAGCCTCATTGAAAGGTAGGCAGAGAATAAGAAAAGGGGCAAACTTCAAATGGCCCAGTTGTAAGCTCTTAATAGGTCTGATAGTTTACTCAGGGAGAAAGAAATCGCAAACTATAGTCTGGCTACAGCAACATCTTTTTAATGAATTTAAGAATTGTTTATCAGTATGACCCCTGCTTCCTGAGTGTATGATGCATAGAGGATTGAAAGTAAAGAAGAACTCAATTTATGATGCCCAAACTCAGCTAACAGAGAGAAAGCCACAGCAATAACACAAAGTAAAGCCAATGGCCTAATGTTTGGCTGACCAGGTACCTCTTAGTAATGGCACCTTTGCTGCTGTTGATGTAGCTCCTACATTATCATGTGGTTGATATTAGCAACTGGTGGAAGGCTGATGTTTCAGTGGGAAAAAAAGATAGCTATATATAGCAGGTCCTCAATAATGTTGTTTTGTTATAACATTGATGAGACGCCTAAAGACTTAACTCTTGTTTATGTCAATTAGCCTGTGATAAAACTTGTTTTCTTATGGTCATTTCACCACAGTTCCAAGAACCTATTGATGATGTTAACTGAGGACTTAGTGTATGTACAGTAATTATTAGGAGGAGTGCAACCACTGAACGGATGGTTGACTGAATATTTTCAATAAGTAATTGGCAGACGAGAAATTGGGGGGGAAATGACAAAAATGTACAATGTGTCTCTTAACCAGTTTAAAGTATTAGAGATGATGAGTAGATGACAAGTTCTCAAATCCTGCACCTACATGATTCACCTGCTCTTCTATGACCAGATCAAGTATCCCTTAAATATGAATATCATTGAGGAGGTGATGGTCCTAAGACCCTGGTGTTGCTCATCACTAGGAGTCATGTTGCCTTGAGTTGAACCCAGCTATTTTGAGAGGATTCAGAGACCCTTGTGTTTCTATGTGTGCTGATATATTCTCAGTTGTGCAGAGATGTGGGAAGGGCATAGGGAAGTGTCAACTGATCTACTGACAAAAAAAGGTCACTCCTAAGACCACTTCTTTGAAACTCATGCTTGCACTGAACATGATGCTGTTTCTTTGATCTTCTTGGCTTCAAAACAAATTAGACCAAGGGCCAAGTTTCATAGGCAGATGTTTTGGGTTGCTAGTTTGAGTCTTATAAGATCTAAGACTGAAAAATGAGGCATAGTAACATATTTATGGCTCTTTTCTTAGGGTATAATCACCAACAGATGAGTGAAGGACAAAGGCAGAAATCTTCTGAATTTTACAACCGCACAGCATCTGAATCAAATGTCTACTTGAACAGTTTCCACTACCCAGATCACGGCTACAAGGACCAAGCCTTTGATACCTTGAGCCTAGACAGCTCTGATAGCATGGAGACCAGCATCTCTGCTTGCTCACCTGACAATATTTCTAGGTAAGATTTATTTGTAGGTAAGGTTTCTGGTGTGGAGAAGTACCTGTTGATTTCAAAAAGTAAAGACATCAATTTGGGGCAATGTATATACATGGACAAGCCCACATTTCTGCACATAAAGAGTCTATAATGCAGAAAACGGTTGGGTGTCCTGGTGGCCTTTGAAAGTAATATCTTTGCATCCTGTATGGATTAGTCAGTCAGACATCATATAACTCATCTTTCTTTGTTATTTACATTTGACTTCACATGTATACTGTGCTTCTAAATTGTTTTGCTTCTGTTCGTTGAGTCTAAGCTTCATTAGGACTGCTTTTGATTAAAAAAATAAATAATTCCCAACAACAGAATAAGAACTTTGAAGGATTTCTGACCCTTGTGTTTCATTAAAAAGGAGGCTTTAGCTGTTCTGCACATTAACATTTTGGTAAGGATTTAACCATTCACATTTGTGTTCATACTTTGAGGCAAGCAAAGGTGTTTTCATGGAATTATGGCAAAAGGCACATCTAAAACATAGATCTAGTTATGGTACCCCTTCTCTTCAAAAGCGTTGATGATGCCCTACTACATTTTGAATAAAGTCAGACCCCAGAACGTGGCATTCCAGGTTCAACCCAAGTCCCCATTCATTCCCTCTGCCTGATACATCTCACAGAGCTTCATATCAATTGACAGGGCGATAAATTCTCAGATCTCTGTGCTTTGGACCATATTGTTCCTTGCTCTGGAATCGTGTAGTTCACTTATTCATTTATAGGTTCCTTCATTCCACAAACATGTGTGGATTGCTGTATAGTCAGCGGTGGGCTGAAGCTGCCTTGTACTGGCTGGCAGGTGCCAAATGTGCAGATCTCCTCCTAACTTGGATCAGTGATGCCATGTTGGAAGTTTGAGATTGACCATGGTGGGAGTATACATTCCCCATAAATCAACAATGACTACACATCAGAGTTTTTGTTTTCCTTCAGAGAGCTGGTATACCAGCACACCACTGTGTATGGCCAGTTCATGCTTTCATCTGTTTTATTCACTCAGCCTGTACTTAGTGAGCACTTACTGGCATTGCAACACATCTGTTCCATCCCCATCGCCCCACTCCCATCTGAGCCTGGAGAAATTCTCCTTATCCTTCAAGCTCAAACTTAACTTGGAAACTCATGAAAACTTTTTCCTTCAGGGCTTTTTCTTCTGTGTTTCTCTTGCACTAGATACTTTTTCTATTCTATCACTGCTCCCATTATAATATAATTTTTTTCTTCAGTAATTAATTGTTGAATTTCTCAATATCAATGAAGATGTTTAATCATCTTTCAATTTCTACACCCAGTAGAGATATTGGCATATAGTAAGTATTCAATAAATGTTGGCTAAATAAATACCTCAGGATGTAGTAAAATAGACATAATTTCAGTTTTGATTTTCTTCTGTGTTTGATCTAGTTAATTGGCTAAAAACCATTATGATTTAATGTCCCCAAACATCAATATTTAATCAGTGTTAATTGAACACTTGTGTATCTCCAAAGAAAATGTCTAGTTGCATAACTGCCATCAAACAAACTTTCCTGTATTGGAATGAAGCCTCAGACTGGGAACGGGAATACTTGTGCTACTTAAAGAAGATCACAGACTTCTCTGGCCCTGATTGGCTAGTCTGTGAATGATCTTTTCCTGCATACAAAGGGATGACGGTTTTTAAATATTCTGATGAACAATTTCCATCATGTGAATAAAATTTCTTTCTTTACAAAGATTTTGATAAATTATGCCTCCTCCCCCCCCCCCAGGGGGGGGGGGAAGCAACAGAGGCAGAGAGAAAGTAATATTAGCAAGTGATACTTAGCTTTTGGGTAAATGAAAAGAGTATGAGAGATGCAAATGTAACCAGACATTATGGCCAGGGAATTTGAAGGTAAGGAGAAAGTAAGAAAAGCATAGATACTACATTCTATGGTGAATAGAGTACAGTGCATTTTAATTCTGTCACTAATGGGTGAAACGCTGATAGTACTGGATATAGATTATCAGAAAAGAAAAGGATTTCCTGGGGAAAACACAAAAGCAACCATGACAATTGTATTTTGCTTGTCACATGGAAATAACCTAAATTTAAGGAAGGAATCATGTAAAAATAACAATAAATAAAGATGATATTTTTGCTGCCATTATTTAATGTTAGTAGGGTTTGTATTTCACTTTATTCAATATTAGAAGATGCAGGATCTCAATTTTTTAATCCTTTCCCAAGGACATTTTTCTGGTTTTGTTCCTATAGAGTTGGAGGGAGAGTGAGGAAGAGAGAGAGAGAGAGAAACGTTGATGTGAAAGGGACACATTGAGTGGCTGCCTCCTGCATGATCCCAACCAGGGCCAGGGACAAATTGCAACCAAGGTACATGCCCTTGACCGGAATCGAGCCTGCGACTCATTGGTCCGGAGGCCAATGCTCTAATTGCTGTGCCAAACCAGCCAGGGCGCAGTATCTCAACTTTTAAAAAATGCAATATGACTGTTTAGGGGAAGACACTCCGAGTGTGCGCACAGTTGTATATCAAGCCATCTCTGCCCTGAAGGTGCTCAGATTGTCCTGCAGTCCTGACGAGGTTGTTGGAGCCGGGCCAGGGGGTGCCGGGAGCTGACATTCTCCAAACAGAAATCCTAGAGCTTTAAGTAGTTATTCATAAGTCACTGCTGTCCAATATAAACTGACCATTTTGATGTGGTATTTTTGAATAACAGGACACAAACAAAAGTCAGTAACTTAGCAAGTGTTATATAATGATGATAGAGGAATGGAAGGTGGATGTTAAAAGAGAGAATGCAAAGAGCAGCAGTTAGTTTCCCAGTGTAGTCATCTCAGAGGGACTGCCCATGTCTCTGGCACTTTGTACTAAGTTGCTGTCTTGAGAACATCAGACTACTCTCCCGTTCCCTAATAACTGTGAACGTGTAATAACAATATTCTATGGTGAACCCTTAATAGCTTGAACTTTTTTTCTTTTTGAGCAATCTTTAATAAGTGAACACTCCAAGAGTTTTTTTTTTAATTTATCTTTTTTTAATTAATTTATTTTTGTTACAGATGTTTCTCCTCTCCCCCCTTACCGCAGACACCCTCCTGCCTATCCTGCCCCCCCAGACACCCTCCTCCCATCCCCCCTCCACAGCATTGTTGTCGATGTCCATTGGTTATGCATACATGCATCTAAGTTCTTTGGTTTATCTCATCCCTCCCGACCTCCACCCCCAGACCGTCTCCTCTGAGGTTTGTCACTCCAAGAGTTTTCTTGTCTTGCTGTTTTTCCTTCTGTTTTCTGCTTCCCACCTCTTTCCCTCCAGAATTAGAAATAAATATGCATCCTTCCAAGTCTATACTCTCCACCCCTCTCTTTACCCCATATCTCATATTTTTTTACTTGTGTTTATTTATCTTTATTTTGCTTCTTGCCAGTGTTTTTTATTCTTTTTTTATTATTAATTTTTTTTTACAGATGTTCTCTTCTTTCCCCCCTAGATACCCTCCTCCCGATCCCGCCTCCCCCTCCACACACAGCATTGTTGTCTATGTCCATTGGTTGTGCATATATGCATGTAAGTTCTTTGGTTTATCTCATCCCTCCACCCCACCCTCCTCTGAGGTTTGTCAGTCTGAACTGTACTCCTTTCTATGTCTCTGGGTCTATTTTGTTCATTAGCTTATTTTGTTCATTATATTCCATAAATAAGTGAGATCATGTGGTATTTGTCTTTTTCTGCTTGGCTTATTTCGCTTAGCATAATACTCTCCAGGTCCCTCCATGTTGTCTCAAAGGATAAGGATCTTTCTTTCTTACAGCTGCATAGTATTCCATTGTGTATATGTGCCACAACATTTTAACCGCTCATCTATTGATGGACACTTGAGCTGTTTCCAGATCTTAGCAATTGTAAATAGTGCTGGTATGAACATGGGGTACATATATTCTTTCTGATTGGTGTTTCAAGCTTCTTAGGATATATTTCTAGAAGTGGGATTATGGGGTCAAATGACAATTCAGTTTTAAATTTTTTGCCATCTCTCATATTTAATGGTGGTAAACAACAGTGGTATAGTGGTGAGTACAGGTAATTACCACCACTTGTATTTACAATGCTTGTATTTACAATTCTTGTACTTACCAAGCATTAAAAGTTCAGATCTGAACATGTAAGCACAGTGATAAGCTAAACCTTAATTTATTTTCATTTGCTCATTCAGTTGCTTTTCCTTAGAATGATATCCAAGGGTGGAAAATGAGAATGTCTCCACTGAACATACCACATTAAGAAAACAGCATGCCCTGGCCGGTTTGGCTCAGCGGTTAAAGCATTGGCCTGTGGACCAGAGAGTCTTGGGTTCGGTTCCCACTAGGGGCATGTACCTTGGTTGCAGTTTGTCTCTGGCCCCAATTGGGGTCATGTGAGTGGCAACCAATCGATGTATCTCTGTCACATCGGTGTTTCTCTCTCTCTTCCCCCCTCTCTCCCTCTTGTTCTATCTGAAGATAAATGCAAAACTCAGGTGAGAATTAAAAAAAAAGAAAACAGCAGTATTGCAGAGGGATCATTCCTGTCATTCCTGGCAGGTAGTTATGTGTGGCTGTGGTCATTTTCCACAGTCACGTCGTGCAGAACTGACCTGGTGGTGCTAGCGATGTGGATAACCAATCATGACGGTCAGAAATTACTCACAGCGTTTGCTTAATTTTGCTGTCAGATCCTCTGAAGGTCAAAAACTTGAAGCCAAAGTAGATGATGCCTGTAAAAGGTCTAATAGAAAAGGGAGAGAGAAAAACAAGCATCTTTCTTCTGTGCCACCATCTACTTTAGAAAAACGCATGCTCCCCTAAGATAAGCGAATAACCATTGTTATGATGGGAAACAGATGATAAACATCAGGAAAGTGGATAATGGGAAGTAATGTTTGGAATGCTTATTATGACCGTGCATCCTTAATGGGAACTTTGTGGAGATAGGTAG